CAACATGTTGGACCTTCATCCAGTCAGAGAAAATGTCCTCAGAGCTGCTGCTGCTGTCTGTCCAACTCATCTGCTTCTTTGTTGTCTCTCAGTCCAACAGGTGGAGGTGAAGGAGGGAGAGGAGTTTGTCCTGCTGCCCTGGAGAACCACAGATAACCTGCCTGGAGATGTTAGAGTGGAGTGGAAGGATGCAGATGGTTATACAGTCCACGTGTTTGATAACGGTTCTGATCAGCCTGGAGAACAGGACCAGATCTACAGAAGCAGAACCAAGATGAATGAAGACCTGCAGAGAACTGGAGACCTCAGTCTGACTCTGAGATACCCAACAGTGAGAGACGGTAACATCTACACGTGCAGCGTCAACAGCAAGGAGGGAAAGATCCTGATTAAAAAAGATGTTCATCTAAAGGTCAAAGGTCAGTGGTTTAAATCTGATGTTGTATTTTCTCCAATCAGCTGATCAGTTGTGATCAATAGTGATCAGAGGCTCAGAACATCTGATCAATGCATGAAGGAGCAGCTGGACTCTGTGAATCTGGACCATTTCTACTTATGGTCTCTCCATGGTTGTTTGTGTCTAATGCTGTTTGTTTATTCCTGTTTTTTTCTGTTATTTTAATTTATTAGCTTTTAGCAGGTAGGAATGAGAGGGGTGAGTGAAATAAAAGATAACAAAAAAAACTAGACATTTCACCTATTCAAATTTTTCCTCGTTACATTTTTATCCCAGTCTTCACATATCTCACATAAAAACACCAGATATAGTTTTCAGACAAACTGGGTCCCTCATTAATCATATGTAAGCAGTTCTGAACAACTTTCTTTAGAAAATGTACTTTGACTCCTTAGATGAGAAGTTCTGCTGTTTTTTTATGAGCTGAGTTTAGTAAAGCATCTTCAAAAATCTTTGTGATGAAACAAAACCAACCCCTTGAAGGTCCAAATGTGGACCTAAGATCAGAGGCTGCAGACTTGTTCTGGTGATCAGGGTTGTAGAAGAAGTGGTGTCTGATGTTCTAAATTAACAAGAGGGCTGCAGGTCCTTTGATCAGCTGATTATGTAGAGAAGCTTCATAACCACCTCAGAGAGAAATTAATATCATCTGGACCCTATGGTTCTTCATGGGATTGAACCGGTTCCGCTAAGCAGCATCATGGTTTCTCTGAGTTACATCTGTACCAAATGCCCCTTTTCCACCTGCAGAATAATTCTTGAACCTGTTCGCAGTCTGTACTGCAGAGCGTGGAGCTCTGACCTTTGGTGGGCGGTAACGAACGCAGAATAACGCTGGGTGGCAGGATAAAGCAATATGTTTATTAATCCACCACAGAAATACAACAATAGCCTGATGGTGCATTTGGTACTTATGTTTGAAGTTTCACATTTCTGTGGAACAGAGCAGCATCAAAACTCTGCAGGTGAGACAGCAAAGTAAACAACAGGAAACAGGAGACGCTCCATATGAGATGAAAGCAGAAACTAGTGTTGATCTGATCCTTACTTCAGGCTAATGCAATAGATCTGTGAGGACTTGATATGATTTATTTAAACACTTTAGGCACTATGAAACAAACCATATGGAGAGGAACTGAAGTTGCATAACAGAAAATTGGGAATAGTTCGTTTTTTTATTTTTTATTGACATACTAAACTTAATATATTAAAACCAAAAGAATAGGGAATATGTATATTTAGTTAAATTTAAGGCTCTTCTAGCATCCTGTCTTTATAAGCTTTATGTCAAATTACCTCAGCCTGCTGGTTGCTTGATGTGTAGCCAGCTTCAACCATTAAACACAATCAGCTTTTCTAATCTTCAATAGCAGTTTGAAAAAAATCACTAAAAAGTCAGTATTTAGGGTGGCAATTGGATGAATAGCTATGTTTAATAAAAATGTGTTGTTCTTGTGCCTCATTTAACTGTTATTGCTTCAGAGACCAAAAAACTTTTTATATGCTTCTTATCTGTTTTATTATGCTTAAATTAGAAGGGAAATGTTCATTAAAAAAAACTAATTTTAAAACACATGTAGTTTAGCTCCTTTATATACACTGCTCAAGAAAATTAAAGGAACACTTTGAAAACACATCAGATCTCAATGGGGGAAAAAATCATGCTGTTTATTTATACTGGTATGGACTGGTTGATAGGGATGGGGATCGTTAATATTTATTGATATCGATACCTTTATCGATACTCCTTATCGATCCGAGTCGTTATCAATACCAATATCAATACTTTTCTGTTATTTGGTGGAAAGACGATGCGACAATATGTTTTTAACAGA